GAGAGCTAGGGTTTCCTCTAGGATCTCTGACCTCTCCAGCCATGTATATTTGGCTATATTTACAGTGCCACCCATGAGTTCCCTCCCGTTGACAGGGCTTTAAGTTCAGTTAGATAGCTGTTGATTACCGCACTAGATAAAAGTGCCACTACCGCACCAATAGAGACAGTTTGCTCTGCCAGGTGTTGTGGTTATTAGGCTTTGGAGCTGGATTGAACCATTGATTGATTTTCTCCCTTAGCAGCTTGTATAGTATCCTCTAGAACTATGAGAGCGAATCTTCAGGGAGAAGGCTTCCAGGTCAGTTCTAGCTCTGCTGCTCCAAGGCCTGTGTCTGAAGTATGTCCTGTCTTCAGCAATAGGGTCTTTCCTTCAAGCTCTGGAAGGTAATTAAGGGCTGTGTCAATAGCCTGTGTTATTTTGGGAGTCTCTTAGACTACTCTGACCAACTTGAAGGGAGTCCTGTCTGGCACTGTGCTCGTTGTAGTGCAGCCTTCGGGTATACACACATACACATGTTCACATACTGCATGTGCATTTTTCAGGGTTTTTTTAAGTTAAAACATTTCCCTTTGACTTTTTAAGCCATTTACCTGAAAATTTCATGATTTCATCTTTCTTTACTGCTGAGTAAACCTCCATTGTATAAATGAACCACATTTTCACTATCCACTCATCAATTGAGGGACACTTAGGTTGCTTCCATCTCTTAGCTATTGTGAAAAGAGCAGCAACAAACATGGATGTACAGTAGGAAGAGTCCTTTGGGTCTATGCCAAGGAGTGGTATAACTGGATCATATGGTAGATTCATTTTGAGGTTTTAAAGAATTCTCTAGTCTGCTTTCCACAGTGGTTGCATGAGTTTGCATTCCCACCGGCAGTGAAGGCATGCTCCTGTTTCTCCACATCCTCACCAGCATTTGGTGTCTTTTGTTCTCTGTCTTAGCCAGTCTGAACTGGGTAAGAAGAAATCTTAAAGCAGCTTTCTCTAATTACTAAGGATGTTGAGAACTTTTAAGGTGTTTCTTAGCCATTTTTATTTCTTCATTTAATGATTATGTGAGGACTTAAATGTGCCAATTTAGTTTTGCTTTTATTTTCTTTTTTTTTTTTTCAGATTTTGTATATTCTGGGTATTAATCCTCTGTCAGATGTGTAGCAGGGAAGATTTTCTCCCACTCAGGGGGTTTCCTATTCAGTTACTTGGTTGTTTCTTTAGCTGTACAGAAGACTTTCAATTTAACGATGTCCGATTGTTGACCTTAGTGCCTGAACAACTGACGTCTGATTTAGAAAGTCCTCTCCTACACCTGAATCTGGTCAGGTGCTGCCTATGTTTTCTTCTAGCAGTTTCAGAGTTTCAGCTTTCATGTTGAGGTCTTCGATCCGTTTGGAGCTGGCTTTTGTGTGGGGTGAAAGGTAAGGGTGCAGTTTCAGTTTTCTACAGGTGGAGGTGCAATTTTCCCAGCACCATTTGTTGAGGGTCATGCCTTTCTTCCGTTGTGCATTCTTGCACCTTTGTCAAATACCGGGTGGCTGAAATTGCATGCATTCGTGTTTGTGTCTTCTACTGTTTTCCTTTGATCTATGTATCTGTTTTGGTGTCAGTACCATGCTGTAGATCTTCTTTATATGTCTGCTAGACTTCTGCTGTGAGTCCATCTGGGCCTGGACATTTTTAGTTCTGAGGTTTTGGATTGCTGTTTCAATTTGGTATTTGTTACGGGTCTGTTTAAGCTGCCGATCTCGTCTTGATTTGGCTTTGGTGGTTTCTGTGAATTTAGAAATTTATCCATTTATTTTAGATTTTCAAATTTAATAGAGTATAGGTTTCTAATGTATTCTCTTATAATATTCTGGATTTTTTGTTGTCTGTTGTTGTATTTCCCTTTTCACGTCTGATTTTGTTAATTTGGATTTAGGGAAGTTTTCTTCTATAATCCTGTTGAAGATCTGGTCAATGCCATTGGCCTGAGATTCTTCTTCCTCTATGCCTGTGATGAGTAGATTTGGTCTTTTCATGGTGCTCCACATTTTCTGCATTTTCCACTCCTGTGTATTTTTAATCTTTTTATAGTCTTTGCTCGAGGCATCCAGTTCTTCAACTTTGTCATCCAGTCTTGATATTTTGTTTTCCATTTCATTTATTCTGGTTGGGAGACTTTCTCCTTTAATTTCAAATGGACTTACTGAGTTTTTCAATTCCATCTCCATTTTGGGCTTGGTTTTCTTGAATATTTCTTTCTTTCGTGAATTCACATTTCAAGTCCTGAATTGTTTTTGTTATTTCATTCAGCCCCTAACTTGTATTTTCTTGGGCTTCTGTCACAAGTTTCTGCCTCTCCTCTGAGTTGTTTGGCTGTTCTTTGGTCATATTTACGATTGTTCTTTTAAATTCTGTCATGAGGTTCCTTAGGGTGATCCTCATTGTGGTATACTTCTGTAAACTGGTGGGTTTTGTTGGGAACATGTTCCCTTGGTTTTCCTATTATTTATGCTTTTCTGTTGCCATGTTCAGTAGGAAATTTTATTTTGCCTTTGTTTAGGTGAAATTTGATTTTGTTTATATTGTTGATGTAGCTTGGTTGCTTGTTGCTCAAGTATGAAAAGTTAGTTGGTGAGTGCTTCAGGTTCTTGCAGGGTGGTGGGCTGGTTTCGGTAGTAGGTGGGTCTGTGGTAGGCAGATCAGGAGGGGGGCCTAAGGCAAGACAGGGGTAGGTACAGCCCATGGAGGATCTAACAGATGAAGCTGGAGAATTGACCTAGTGTGGGTGCAAAGGATCAGGACCCAGTAGGCAGGTCTGGACTAAGAGGGTAGTCCAGAGGTCTGGGATGGAAAGAGCAGGGGCAGGCCTGAACCCAACGCAAGAAGGAGAATGGAGGGTGGAGCTGCTCAGGCTGCTGGGGAATCAAGATGCAGTGGGTAGATCAGATTTACCAGGGTAATTGGTGGGTCTGTGGCAGGCAGATCAGGAGGTCAGGGGCAAGGTAGGGGTGGGCACAACCTGTGAAGGGTATAACAAAGTAACCTAGAGGATAAACTAGTGTGGCTTAGTCCAGAGATCTGATATGGAAGAGCAGGAGCAGGCCTGGGCCCAAGGCTTGAAGGGGGACACAGTGCAGGGAGCGAGTCAGAGGTGTCCATTTTTGCCATCAACAGTGGTACAAGCCAGACTTGGGTCTCAGGCAGCCTTTGGGTACCCAAGATACACAGCAAGAAAGGCAAAGAGGCCTTTCCTTCCTGGTAGCTGAATGGTGTTGGTGACAAGAGTGGGGGATGATGGTCATGAGTCCTGTTGTGCCAGTGATGGGTGACAAAGGTGCCCCAGGAGTTCTGTAATGGGCTGGTTTTTTTTTTTTCAATGTATTTTTTTTTAGTCTTTTTGAGACAGGGTCTCCCTGTAGCCCCAGCTGTCCTGGAACTCACTATTAGACCAGGCTGGCCTTGAACTCACAGAGATCCACCTGCCTCTGCCTCCCGAGTGCTGGGATTAAAGGCGTGCGCCACCATGCCTGGCCAATGTATTTTTTTAATTGAATTTTTGTGCACTTCATACAAAACATCTTAATCATCTTTATACCCCCTCCCCCACCTTCACCCTCTCCACAGCCCAGCCCCACAAGATTTCAATTGAAATTATAGATTGACTTCTTCTTCTTATTTCTTACTCTTATTCTTGACTATATCCTTATTTATTTCCCATGCATTCTCTCATATATGTTAAGGCCTATCTGGTCAAGCATTTGTAGCCAGATGTCCCTCAGTGCAAATTAATTCACTGGAGTCTGGTCAGCCTATGTAGAGTCTTTCCCTTAAAGAAGACCATCAACTCTCTCTTACCTAGTAGTAATCACCTGCCAACAGTTCTTCAGCTAAGATTGGGGCCTGCTGCCCGTTTCCCTAGTTCTATGCTGAGTTTTTGTCTGATTGAGTTTGCATGGATCTTGTGCATGCTGGCACCACTCCTGTAAGTTCATAAGAGCAAGTTCCCAGAGGCCTGGAAGACTCTGTTTTCCTTATGATCATGCACCAAGAGGCACCTGCCTCTTCAAAATTGTTTTGATCCCGCCATACTGCAGGGCTGGGGGCTGGAACCACTTGCTTGTATCTGAAAACAGCACCGGCTGGTCGAATTGTGCAGTTATTGATCTTTTTTTTTTGGTTTTGAGGATTGAGTTCAGGACTTCGTGCATGCTTAGCACATACCCCACCACTGAGCTACACTCTCAGCTCAAACAGAACTTTTAGAACACGACTTTTAAAATGAACATGAATCATCAATCATGAAACCTCATTCCTGTGACTGAACCCCACAGAAAAAAAGTACTGAAATCCCAGTACTTGGGAGGGTGAGACAGGAAAACCACAAATTCTATCTAGGCCAGCTTGGGGTACCTGTCACAGTTTAAAAAAAAAGAGAAGAAGAAGAAGAAAAAAGAAAAAAAGAAAAGTATATTCATGTTATCGATCTCATAACCTGGGGAGAATCCGAATGAGCATGGAAACCTTTATATTATTCCGGTCTGGCCTCTACCTCAGAATATCAAATCTGATTCTGTGGGGGAAAGGGCTCAGATACATATATTGTAAAAAAGTTCCCTAGGTGACATTAAGGTTGACTTCTGGTAACTCTTGCGACTCTGAGGGCTATTCGGGTTCCTGGACTGAATTCCACTGTGAGCTGTTGATTTAATATTGAAACTTGGTTTTGAGTCAGCCTGTCACCCTGTATCTCAGGATGTCCTGAACTCTGTTCTTGTGTCCCTGCCTCCTGAAGACTGGGATTTATGTGTGTGCACCTCTACTGACAATCTTCTGTCAAATCCTGCCTGGGAAGAATTCTGTTAGGCTGATTATTCACACAGGGGAAATAAGGATAGAATGAAAAATAAGAACAGCTTTTCCACGATTTAGTTTGACTTACTTAAGAAACGTAGATAATGAGATATTTCCAAACTTCAGCGACTCTAAGAACTAAGGGCTACAGTGGCACTTACTTTGGGCAGTCTGGTTTCTCTGCGCCTTTCTCTTGTTTCTCTTTTTCTAGGTGCTTTTTGCTTCTCTCGGTTATCAGTTTTTCAACAGGAATCTCTGGAACCCCCATATCTGCTGCAAATTTCTCTGCACCGTGGCCAGTCAGAAAGCAATGAGGTGTCTAAGCCAGGAAAACAACACAACACAGCCAGAAAACAAAACCATAAAAACAAAAAATCCACCCAGGAAAAACAATTAAGTTTTTGAAAATTTTAAATCTTTTTTTCTTTATTTTACCTGTTCCTCTGAGTGGAACTCATTACTACCCCCCCGACCCACGGGGACTCTGATATTTTAGCTTTTCTAAATGCTGAAAAAAGCCTGGGCCGCTGAGATTTTCTATTTTCACAGAACTTCAAAACTAATGAAATCTTACCAGGACGTGACTTATAATGTTAAATTTTGAAAACTCAGTTTTAATGTAACACATGATATTGAATAATTGGTTTGCTTAGTTTGTATGTGCCACGCTGTAGGCATTAACAGAAGGCTATGGAAACACAGGAAGAGGACAAACTCATCACTCATCAAGTGACTGTTACTCATCCGACAGGATCAAATTCATGAATGATTTGAGAAGATCAAATGACACTGCATGTATTTTAGAACAGTGATCTATCTCAAGTCCTCCTCACAGCCAGGCCCCTTTCTTCCCTGAACTGTGACAGTGACAACGGTGCTTGGGCCACACATACCTTTTCCATAACAAGCCGCGCAAGTTTGATGGGATTTGCGATGCAGCGCACGGCAGACACTGCTCCTGCCGACAGGTTCTTGCCATCCATGATACTAGCATCCATCTCAACATCACCGTTTACATTCAAGACAGACCCACAACCTAAAGCCAAGGGGAAGGTGAAAGAAAGAACTAGCAATTTTAAATGACCCCAGATTTTCCTGTAACCTACCCCCCCCGTTTTTTTTTTTTTTTTTTTTTTTTTTTTTTTTTTAGCCCCAGCTGTCCTGGAACTCTCTATGTAGACCAGGCTGGCCTTGAACTCACAGAGATCTACCCACCTCTGCCTCCTGAGAGCTGGGATTAAAGGCGTGCACCACCATGCCTGGCTTAACCTATCCCTTTTGATCAATCTTCTATGCTACTGCTATAAGAACACAGGCATCTGACTTGGTACCTGTTAAGAGTTTGGATATGGTTTATCTCCCACAGGTCCCTAGCACTGTAGTGTTGAGGTGGTAGAATCTTTAAGAGGTGGGTCCTAAAGGAAGGTGATGGAGTCATGGGGCTCCATCCTCCTGAATGGATGAATTTTGGTCTTATAGGAGTGGATTTTCTCACTCTGATAAAGGGCACCTCTAAAATTCTATAATGGTGAGAGCCTGAGTGCTTCTCCCTAAGACCAGTAATAAACAAGGATGCCTGCTTCCATTTCTCCTACTGAAACAGACCACTGACTAGCCTGGCCAGTGGAATAAGGCAAGAAAAATAAAGGCCACAGATTGGAAATAGATAAACAAAATGGTCTCATTTTCTTTGTGGAAATCCAAAGACTCTCCCAAGGTAGAATAGGCAAATTTAGCCAAATCATAGAATTCAAAGTTGCTATGATCTGAATCCATATATATATAAATCTCTTCACTCCTAAGGTATGGGGGGGGCTTTGGAATGTGACGAGGCTATAAAAGTCTAGCCCTCATAAATGGGGTTAGCATACTTATAAACGAGGCTTGAGGGGCTGGAGAGATAGCTCAGCAGTTAAGAACACTGGCTGTTCTTGCAGAGGACCTAGGTTCGAATCCCAGTACCCACATAGCAACTAACAACTGTCTATAACTCCAATTCCAGGGGATCCGACACCCTCTTCTGACCTCCATGGGCATTGCACGACTTGGGTGCACTTACATACATATAAGCAACACTTGTATATACATTAAAAAAATAAAAATAATAAATAAAAAATATTTTTTTAAAAAAGGAGGTCTTTCACCCTGTGACGTTGAAAATGTGACAAGACAGGTGTGAGGAAGCAGGCCCTCATCAGATACCTTATCTGCTGCACCTTGACCTTGGACTTCTCAGCTTCCAGAACTAAGCAATATATCTATAGGCTGGGTGCGGTGATGCACATTTGCAAATTTAGTGCTCAGCATGCTGAAGTAGATGGCCTACACACTGGAAGCCAGTCTGGGTTACACAGAGAATCCCTGGCTAGCTGGAGAGACATAGTAAGATCTGGTTGCACCAGAACAAAACAAAACAAGACCTCTCTTCACAATAGCTAAGAAATGGAAACAACCTAAATGTCCCTCAACTGAGAAGTGGTTAATGAAAATGTGGTACATCTACTCAATGGAGTTCTACTCAGCAGTAAGAAAAGATGAAATTATGAAATTTGTAGGTAAATGGATGGAGCTAGAGAGTGTTATACTAAGTGAAGTAACACAAACGCAGAAAAGCAAGTGATGTATGTTTTCCCTCATTTGTGGATTGTAGCGCCAATCCCTTAAGTGTAAGTATATAAATTCTGAAGTAACACCAGGAGCCAGGTAAAGCAAAGGATAAATGGAGGTAAAGGAAAAGAAACAACCTGAAAGAGAGATAGTAGGGAACAGACGTTACCTGAGGGAGGTAGAAAAATTGTGAGTAATCGACAGGGAGGAGAGGAGGGAGGGACACGCAAGGGATCATGGCTTGGGGGAGGGAAGTCAGGAACGGAAGGATGGCAGGAGTCAGGAGGTATTGAGGGGAGGGGGGAATATTGGGGGCACTATGACTAGGAAGGGAGGGAGGAGGGAGGCCAGATGGGAGAAAAAGGAGTAGAGATGAGTGAATCTCAGGGCCAGGAAACCTAGAGGTAAAAGTGATGCCCTAGAAACCCTATGAGAAATGCACATAGAGTGTCTGAACAGTAATGCATATGTATACCTGGGAGCTGCTTGGTAGAGAACATAATGCCAGATAGAAGAGACCTCCCTTAGAGTGAACAACATGTTGAATAGCACTCATTGAAGAAACTTCTTTTTGCAACAGATGGAGGCTACTGCACAGTTACACATCTAGTCAGGCACAGAGAACATACACCTGGGAGATGCCCAGTACTAGGTGACACATCTGCAGTTGAAATCCTACAACCAAGGCTCATGGAACATTGCCATAAGGGGTAGAGAGAGGGCTAATGCACACCTCAATTCTCACCAGTGAAGCTTCTATGTACACCAGAGTACGATACACACAGAAGGCCTCAACTGGCCAAGTTTTGGAGAATAAGAGACTGTAGAGTGTAGGATGGGACTCCTATAAGGAACCTTACCTACTCATGGCTCAGGGACCATTGCTGGAGAGGAGGTGGAAAGATTGTAAAAGCCAGGGCTGGTTCATGAACATATGAGGTAGAGGCTTTCAGGCCAATGGAGGCTTGCTCATATGCACTGCGGCAGCGGTGGCATCCAACGTGGGACCCATGTCATCTCAATTAAACAAGGGCCCAAAGAAGAGGTGAGAAATAGATGGTGGGTCAGCACTAGATAGAGAACTATTTGAGACTGGTTGCTGCTGGGTGAGGGAGAGTATGACTTACATATGAACACTGGGTGGGCCAACTAGACGTCAGTGGATGCATTTACACTGAAGGACATTTGGGTACAAACACTTGAATGAACAGGAATCAGCATGTATGGTAGAGTGCGTAGGATTCAGTGTGGGGGGTGAGGCATGGGTGGGTGAGGAGGTCTGCATGTAAGTGAGAAATAGTGTATGAAATTTTAAAAGCTCAATTAAAAAAAATAAAAAAAGAAGGAAAACAGACCTGTGTTTGCGGATGATTGGAAAAAGGAATGGGATAAGGGGCAATTGGAGGAGAGCAAGAGAGTGTGATGGGGGAGGAAATATGATTAAAATACATTACATACAGCATGAAAATGCTATAATGCTAATAACCCCCCCGCTCCAAATTTCTGTTTAAAAGCAACCTGGGGCAGGAAAGAAGGTTCAGTGCGTGAAAGTACTTGCTGCAGAAGCCAATCCTCAGAACCCACAGTGAAAGGAGGGAACTGACTCCTGAGAGCTGACTCCGTCCTCTACACACATGCTGTGACACACACATGTGCACACACACACACAAATAGCAAATTAAATAAAACAGTGTATTTGTTAAAAATAGTAATCTAGTCTCTGCTTCTTTTTATAGCAGCCCAAATAGATTGTCAATATTCAAAAATCAGTATTGTTTCATGAGCAAATGACATAGAAAACTGCGGTAATGTGTACAAGTAATATGAATTAAGAAAACAGAAATACTTAAGAGATAGAATAAAGATATCCAATAGGTGAAAAATAGACTGGGGGAACTAAAAGAACTGAACGTACAGAAATTAGGTGCTTAAACAAAAGCTCTAACCTCTAATTCACTAGAATCCCAGGAGAGGAGGAAGAAAAGGGTTGGGCTAAAAAGTATTCAAAGAAATAACGGCTGAATATTTTCTACATTTGATGAATGGTACAAATCTACAAAATCAAGAGGCTGTGCAAACCCTAAAATTTATTAAACACAAAGAAATTCACAAGAAGACATCATAATCAATAAAGAAACCTTGAGGGGACTGAGGCTGTGGCATGTTAGAGCGCTTGCCTACCAGGCATGATGGTTCAGTCCCAAGCACTGAAAAAAAATTATCAAGAAAGAAATGACATCTTATCCAGAGGGGAAAACTAATTATAATGACAAAGGATTTCTCAGCTGAAATTATGGAGACCAAAAGGAGAGGCAGCATTTCCCAAGGGCTAAAAGAAAAGAACTATCAAATCAGAATTCTATGTTTACCCAAAACATCCTTACTATATTCTCATGAAGACTAGACTGTACTCCTCTGTTTGGACTGCAAAAACAAATACCCCAGGCTGGGTTTCTCATACAACAGAAATTTATTTCTCAGCCTGCAGGCTGAGAAGAAGAAGCCCAAGGTCAAAGTCCTTTTTTTTGAGATGGGTTTGTAGATGGTCACCATCTGGTCTCTTCTTGGGCCCATGAAGAAAGGGCATACTATGGTTCTTTCATTTATTTGTTTGTTTTTTCAATATCTTGTGTGTGTGTGTGTGTGTGTGTGTGTGTGTGTGTGTGTGTGTCTTTTCAATATCTTGTGTGTGTGTGTGTGTGTGTGTGTGCATGTGTGTGTTTTCTTGTGAGTGCCCGCATGTTCTTGTGAGTGCCAGCGTGTGCATGCCATGGCTCAGGTGTGGAGGTCAGAGGACAGTTTTGGGTGTTTGCCCTCACCTTGTTTTAGAACAGGGTCTCCTGTTCACCTGTACACATACCAGGCTGTTTTAGAACAGGGTCTCCTGTTCACCTGTACACACACGAGGCTGTTTTAGAACAGCGTCTCCTGTTCACCTGTACACACACCAGGCTGTTTTAGAACAGGGTCTCCTGTTCACCGGTACACACACCAGGCTGTTTTAGAACAGGGTCTCCTGTTCAGCTGTACACACACCAGGCTGTTTTAGAACAGGGTCTCCTGTTCACCTGTACACACACCAGGCTGTTTTAGAACAGGGTCTCCTGTTCGTCTGTACACACACCAGGCTATTTGGCTTGGAAGCTTCTGGGAACTCTCCTGTCTCCACTTCCCATCTTGCTGTAGGAATGCTGGGATTACAGATATGGGCTACTGTGGCTTTATACAGGTCCTGGGGAATCCAAACTCAGGCCATCCTGTTTGCACGGCAAGCACTTTACCCACTGAGCCATCTCCCCAGCTCGGGTTCTTTTTCTATAAGAATGCTAACCCTATTAAGTCAGAACTCTATCTCCTGCTTTCACTTCATTATGAACAATTTCCTCAGTGGCCTCATCTCCAAATATCAACACACTGGGCAGTACAGGG